CAAGGTATGAAGGAGTTAATATGACGAGGTGTATGAGTTTGGGAATCGAGGGAGTGACGAGAAAAAAAGAGAAGAGAAAGATAAGTGAGAGCGAAAACTGCGAACTTGGCTGCGTAAAGTGCCAAATCTACTGTAATAATTGCTGTCTTCTGTACACACCAAACGGGGGCGGACAAGACAGACACACAGACGCACAAAAATTAATAATATTTAAACAATCATATTTATCATTCACTAGCTTTTCAATTACACAACATCATGTATGTGTTGCTTCTTTGGGGCTTGTTTTCATAGACCTGGTTGCTTATTTCTCTCAAATCTGGCAACAGAGTGGGCAGGGCGCAGTATTTAATTGTAGCAGTAAGCTAACGAGTACTGACAAGCTTGATTTTGTTTTGATCCAATGCTGCACAACTGAACTGATCCAATGGTGCTGTGAAAGAAAGAAGCTATATCCATGTTGGATAGAATATCCAATTTAAATAAAAAAAATAACCTTAAGGGACAACTTGAATGCTTTTTTTCTTTTTTTCCTCTTAATGCATTGCATAAAGATCGGTTCGGGGAAAATCGGTATCGGCAAATTGTCAAAATCAAATGATCGGAATCGGATCGGAGCAAAAAAAGGTGATCGGGACATCCCTACTCATGACAAGACTCATGACCTGAGGACAAAAGCAGCCGCCGTCTCTCATACAAATAGGAAACATTGATTTTGACTCTGATAAGAGGGTCCTTAACCCCTGTAGAGGGTAAACACCAGCTGTAGATTTACAGTTTGTAATATAATAGTCGGACAAACCCAGTTAAAAAAATACAGTCGATGTAAAAAATGAAAACTACTCCAATGTATATGCAAAGTATAATAATTACTCAGACACTGCTTTCTGTGGATTAAAATTCAATACTGCTGCACATCTGCTCAATAAATCAAAGCATGCATTTTGAATTTGGACAACAACAATAGCAGCTTTAAAACACAATAACTAAAAGAAGACATTGAAGCAGTGTAAGAATTCCACTATATTATCTCTTTCATTCATTGAGTTGGAAAAAGAGAATCAATCAATTACTGAATCAAGTGGTTGTGCACAGCTCAGTTCCAGCAGTCATCTAGCATCTTTTGAATCTAACTTCAGACTTAATAGGATGAACCCTGTCAGTCTCCTGTGAGGGATACACATATCAGTACCACATACCAGAGAGCCACAGTAGGAATCCCAGCTGGGGGATCATTTGAGGTTTCCAAGGGTCACTGCAGAGACGCTCTGACAGGAAGCTGCCACACTGCACCACAGCCAAGTGCCTCAAGTTTAGAAGGGGCACAATCAACCGGGTCAAGCCATAACATCCACATTAAAACATAGAGCTATTTTCTTTTGTGTATGATTTGACCCATTTTTGGTCAGAAACATCGACTTAATTGTAGGGATTATTTTACAAGCAATTATTTGAAACTATTTACTTTTGGGCGGTGTCTCAAATGTTAGAATCAGCTGGTTTCCGTTGTTTTATATCATTAAATATTGCACAAAAATAGATATTTGCAGCAGTCACCACTGGCTCTGGGAAGTGCAATGCTTTTGTTTTAATACTAACTGACATTTTATTTTATCGACTACACAGTTAACCAACATATATATGGAAATCATAATCATGTGATTAATTGATGATAAGAGACATTTAAGGAAGTATTTTATATTGTTGTTCCATATCCCGATATTGATATTACTAGGTATCAGAAAAACTGATTATTAAAGTGCACTCAGGCCTGACTTTCCACTGCTTTTAGTATGTTGCCAAATCACAACATATTGCTTGTCAAATAAATAAAAAAATAAAAAGTATTTCCGCCTTTATTTTATTAAACAAATTGGACATTGAACTCAAATCCAAAAGCCCCATTCAAAAAAGGATTATAGCTACATTTTAAATAGCTGTTTCTAAGAATAGTTGCAATATCCACAGTCTTTCGTGATGTGTTTATAGCACAGTTAAACGCAATGACAATAAATACAAAATACATATTGTGCATCATCCCTTATAGATATTAGATAAGATATCATTGTTAGTTTCTTATAATAAATAACCGAACTGAACCACATTTGGTTTCCAGTGAAGCTGCAGAGTGGCAGCAGCTATAATCTCCCTCACTGACCTACTGCTGCTCTGTTATCAGCGTGTCACCTGATGTGATGTGACTGGCTTTCATTTGAGTCACTGACCACCAATTGTACAAGAGCTTATACTGATGATTTCATTCAACGTCATGCCTTCCCCTAACCCCTTACACAGACCAGCTGACTCAGAAAAGTAATATGATTTGTTCAAATGTTTCTCGGAAACGTCTTTTAAAACAAAAAATGACTCAAAAATGTTTAACATATAGCTTGCTGGAAAACGAGCCTTCTTGAAGTGAATACATGCATTACTTAGGCACTTCTGTTAAAGAAGTTTCACGTCAGGTCTGTCGGTGTATAGCTGGAGATGCACTGACTTTTACAATATAATTTTTTTAATAAAGGTAAAATATAATCAAAGGTAGCCATTGTGAGATTAGTTAGCCAGTCTTATTACACAGTAACCTTTATAGTTGTTTCCAGAACAACCCCAAGTATCAGTTCTTTAATTATATTAATGCAGACAATACTTCAATTTGAAATAATGTATTAAATAGGTTAGTATAAACTATTCCACATGTGTGCATACTGTGTGAATACTAGAAAAATAATCTTCAATAACTATAAAAGACACATCAGAAGACTTTCATTACTGAAAGCTTATCTTAAATTACAGTTCTGGTCCTATTATCTAAAAATAGACACATTTATTTTCAGTTGCCAAATGTCTGTTCTGTTTCAGCTCTTGTACTGATATTGACTCCATGGTAATGTTTATTTTTTATTTTTTTTAAATTGTACTTTGATTCTAGTGCTAGTTTGCCAGCTTTATTAAACAACATGCTTCCAGAAAGAATGATCACCACAAAGAAAAATAAATCCTTACTCATCCATACAGTAGAAACTAAAACTAGACCGAACCATAATGCCTTTTAAAACTCAGACAAGGTCTATTTGCGGATACTGAACTAACCCAGTATTAATATATCAATACAACTTTTCCCAAAATCCACAACCAATACGACAAAGGAAATAAGACTAGAGCTTCTTACAGAAAGAGACTTTAAAAATGTCTTTGTCCAATTGTAAGACAAAAGGATGAATAATAGATGTGTAGTATACAAACATATCTCAATGATTTATAGTGCAGGGATGTTAATGATAGAACCATGGCGACTGATCATTGACATATTGAGTTACTGGTTACAATGCAGGTTTGGGTTCTTCATACAAAAAAACATATCAGCTAACATATTATCATATATTAACACATTAATGCACCAATAATTGTAATAAAATAATGTAAAAAATATGCTAAAGTATATTTGAATGCTAATCCTTTAATACTTTTACTCAAGTACAGTTTGAATACAGGACTTTTATTTGTAAAGGATTATTTTTACACTGAATTATTTATACTTAAGTACATCATTTGAGTACTTTTTCCACCTCTGCTATTAATAAATTGCAAGGTAAATTGCACCTGTCTCTGCGACATATCCAAAGAAGATTAAAAAAACACACTAACCCTTACCCTACCGACTACAAATCCGGATTTACCCTACGGTGTCTTTCCCACTGTTTTACGAACAAAATCTGTGAAGTTAAATCCCACAAATAATCTATATGACGAATTTGGGATCTAGATCCAATGCTTTCTGCTGCTGCACTCACACACTGTAACGTAGGGCTTTCAATTCGTGACTGGCAAGCGAACTAGAAAATACCGGTCGACTCGGGACTCAAACCGTGGTTAAAGCGGATAATCTCCAGGCGCTGCATCAAACGAACACACACACATAGCATCCATGTTTGTGAGCCTAGCCTCCACTACGTCTGGTTTAAATAAACAAGCTAGCATTTAGCTCGCCAACTAATCCAAGGGCAGCAAACTGACTAGCCCAACGGCTAACTATGTTCTTTTCTTACCTTGGTTCAGTGTGGCTTCTGTTTATCAATAAAATGAGACGTCACTCGATTTTTTTTTCTTCTTTTATAATAATCGCATCCCAGTTCGTCTTTGCTTTCCGCCGCTAAACCATTCAAATAGTCGGGTAGTAGAACCAGCGAGCTAACGGCTATTTGTCAATCCCAATCCTGGTGGAGCGGTAGCGCGCAAACCCTCCCACTCACTCTCACCCGCCCTCTACTACAAAGCGCGTTCACGTTGACAGCAGCCGGACGCGCTCACGTCATTACAGGAAGTCAGCGTCGTTCGTTACCAGCAAAGCGACCAAGAAGAAGAAGAGGAGTAATAGATCAACTCTACTAATCCTTCTGCAGGTATTTTAAGTTTCAGTTTCTCTTGAACTGCTCATATACACAGTTGGCTTTTTTTTAATAAAGTTTTCAAGTTGGATCAATTGTAATGGCTTTTGCCTCCGTTGTGTGTCGGCTTAGCTAAGTCACAGGCTAACGTTAGCTTTGACTGCCAGCATGACACAGCTAGAACTTCAGCACAGCTAAGCTAACCGCTACTTTTGTTAGCTTCGCTTTGAAAAGTATTTTTTACACAAACGAACGGCTCCAGATCTCTTAAAACGTTTTGATTAGACAGCAACACTATTTTTACGGTCGGACATGACGTTACAGTATTTAAATATAAGAAATATCTGTAATAGTTAACAATAGAAAATGACAGTATCCAGCACTGACCTACAGTCAGTGTTGTTAAGAAGAAACGCTACTCAGCTCTTTTGAGGTTTTCTTTTAAGTAACTAATTTATCAAATATAAATATTTAAATGGTCTCACACAGTACTTCTCTTTGTTGTTTTTTACACTCATATCAATGAGGACCAAGCCACATTGAAATGTATGTAAACTTATATGTTCATACAAACCTGACCCCTTTTTCTTTTCCTCCAGTATTCAGGCTCGTTTACAAAGAGGTCTAAAGATGTCGTCAGGTGCTTTGTTCCCAAGCTTGGTGAGCGGCTCCAGGGGAAGCTCCAGCAAGTACCTGGTGGAGTTCCGTGCCGGGAAAATGACCCTGAAGGGGAACGTGGTGACACCGGACAAACGCAAAGGCTCGGTGTACATCCAGCAGTCAGACGACTCCCTGATCCACTTCTGCTGGAAGGACAGGACATCTGGGAATGTTGATGATGTGAGTAACTTAAAAGCAAAAACATGAGATTCTAATGGTTTTATTGTCATATGCACAAATGCTTAAGTGTAGAAATGGCAATGAAATTCTTCTGACCTGAGCTCCTCCAACAATGCAACATATATAATAAAATACAAAATAAAAAGTAGTGCAAAAAGTCTATTTACTTTTAGGTGTTATTATATTCAGACATGATGTACATTCCACAAATAATACAACAAACACAACGAGGGCCTTGGCAGCACTCCTGCATAAAGACTGTCGCCTCAGTTTTTCATTTTGCCTATTCGAATCATTCTTTATTTGTAGATAAAAGCTGACACATTGAATCTTAATTTAGCTTGGCTTCCACAGAGCAAGAAGTAAGGTGACCGTGTCTTTATTCAGAGCTGCAGGGATGATGATGCCTGGTTTTCTTTTTCTGTCGGTAACTGGTTGACGATGATTTGTTGTGACAGAGAACAACCTCAGTGTTTTTCTCTCTCCTCTCGTTTAAATGTCCTATGTTTTGGGTTTCTGTTTCCAGGACCTGATCATCTTCCCCGATGACTGTGAATTCAAGAAGGTGAGCCAGTGCACCACCGGACGAGTCTTTGTGCTGAAGTTCAAAGCCGGATCCAAGAGGCTGTTCTTCTGGATGCAGGTGAGAGGAAGCAGATATACATGCTGTCTTTGTGAATGCATGACACCTGTGTCCATTTGTATTCAGGCAGGTGGTTGCTCAATAGAGCGACAGTGAGTGGAGAATGGGGGGGGCAATACCAGCAGAGCAGAGAGATGAATACACAGGGCTGTAATCAGTGTGTTTGTCAAGCAGCCACACATTTTACATTCATCCTAACTTCTGGTTTCTTTGTATCTGCTCCAGTCTAAAATGATTTCTATAGTCAAAATAAGAGGCTAACTTATCTGTGGTTTTATTTTCTTTGTATATATTTTTGTTATAAAAATAGATTCTCTTCTGACTTGCCTAAACAAATGTTAAATATTTTGTGTTCATTTTCATCAATATTTTTGTAGATTTAGGTTGTTTATATTTAAAAATGAAGTGTTTTTTTAGTTGTCTTTAATTAGTTTGGGAGTTGTCAATCATGCTTTGTGAAACCATCACAAGAGGCTAACCTGGTCATTTGGTCTGTGGGAATTCTTCTTTGCCTTCAGGAGCCAAAGTCCGATAAGGATGACGAGTTCTGTCGTAAGGTGAACGAGTACCTGAACAACCCTCCCATCCCCGGAGCCGGAGGGAGCGGGGGGGGCAGCGGACATGAACTCTCTGCACTGGGAGGAGAGGGAGGCCTGCAAAACCTGCTGGGAAATATGAGCCACAACCAGCTGATGCAGCTGATCGGACCGACTGGACTGGGAGGACTGGGTGAGCAGCTCGCAATATTTCTCTGACATGAGCTCAACACGCAGGAACTTGTATCTGTCGAGAGACGGGAAGACACGTCAGAAAATGGCAATACAAATAGCCATAAAAAGTATTATTTCAAGAAAATGTAAAACTGGTGTTAGTAGTGCATTTCAAAACATTCCATTCCGTGTACTTCCTTTCTGACACATGTATTCGCTCTATGTTTTAAATATGAATCCAACATAAATTTGGGCCCTTTTTTGATTTGTTTTATTGTTGTCTAAGGAGGTCTGGGAGCTCTAGCAGGACCAGGACTCGCTAACCTGCTGGGCAGCGCGGGGCCGACCACCACCACCAGCAGCTCCTCCTCCAGGTGAGAGGACACACATGTAGCCCATATTAGATTTTAAAAATCAAGTACTGCTGAACTCACCTTCCCCCCCCCCCCCCCCACAGCTCTCGCAGCCAAGTCATCGGCTGCCACTCCTTCCTCAGCGGGGCCTCCAGGCTGACGCACCACTCAGGCCCCACCACCCCGCTGACCTGCTGCCTCAGCCGCCTCCCCTACTACCTTGTTGCTCCTCCACACGCAGGTACAGCTAGCAACAGGGACCTACTACACCTTAGTAACTACACCAAGAAACACCTGAAACACTTGAGTAGCCAACAACAATTGTCTTCCTCATTGGGAACAAATCAAATTAATAACTGAGTATCCAATTACTGATGGTTAGAGAATCTTCAAACCTTTGTCCCTCCACACCCAACTCTAAAAAGAGTACTCAAGAGCTTGACATGTTTCAACAACGTATTTGTTTGCCCTTTGTTACTGATCTGAACACACCCTTCCCCCCCCCACCGCAACTCAGACCCCGCTGCCCCGCCTCCGTTTGGGAGCCCCGGCTCTCACCAGGCCGCATCCAGCTAAGTGACCTTTCAGAGCATCTCGCCACCATGAAGCGTCCCAGCAACCTCAGACGGTTCCTGCTCAGAGGTAGCCGCAGGAGTGAAGTGCGAGGAAGACCTGAATGTAGGATTCAGATTTAAGAACGTCAGAGGCTTAGCAACAATGCTCTATAGAAACGCTCCAAACCCCAGCCGTGTAAAATGAGAGCGGCGTAAAGTCGAACGAGGAGAGATACGTCAAAGCGATAGAAGTTATCCCTGATGCCTTAAACTGACTCTCTCGCTGTGCTGCAGTGGACCTAGCGAGCGTTTGCACCCGGAGATGATGGCTCCCATCCTGACCACCGCTGAGGTCCAGAAGAGGCTCGTCCCCTTTCCTTGCCCAGCGGGGAGAGTCTCCCACAGAGCGCCGGAGGAGATCGAGAACACCATCAGCTCACCTCAGTTTCAACAGGTTAACGCATACACACCCAGAGCTCCAAATACACAGACGTGCTGATCCTCTGCATGAAATGAAAAAACCTTTTACTTTGTGGCCCCACATACGCTAAGTACAATGTGATCATAAGCTCCTGATTGTGGCTTGGTTACTTCTTGGAACGGGAAAGTTCATTTGCTAACTGTAAATTGTTAAAGGGTAACACAGCTTAATTGAATGAGACGAGAGGAATGGTTTATTGCTGTAATCTACCAACTGACTGTTCCTCCTCCCTCTCCCTCCTCCCTCAGTCCATGGCATGTTCAGCACGCGGCCTCTGGCCTTCAGGTCAGCCTCGGCCCGCTCCATGAATCAGTTCGGGTCTGCCGGCTGAGGCTGTGGAAGCCGCCAACAAAGGACGGTTAAGTGTGGAGAAATGGAGAAATGGACAAAGTTTGTCTTTTTGTTATATTAATAAAGAAAGTCAATATAGAAGTGAAAGTCCATCTCAAATGTTAGGAAAGAGCTACTTCACCTCAGAGGATGGAGAAGTGCACAGCTCACTAGTCCCACTGTATAGTAGAGAGAATAGCCAAACTGGGTCCCACCCTTAAGGTCCCTTGCATCATCTAAACATCCCACCATTAACCCCCTCGTCCTTAAACCCTTTGCCATATCCCCCCTTTTTACCCTTTAGCCCTCCAAAGAGATGTAAATCCTCTAACATATGTCTCTGGTTAAACCAGACAAGACTACAAATACCCTTTAACCCTTCGATGCACGAGCGGTGACTGGACCCTACACTCCATAAGTGGGTCAAAAGGACCCCGTATTAGATGTGTTTTTATTCCATTTTTGTCAATTCTGGTTAATAAAAATCACTTTATTATATTTTTGATTCACACTAGAAATATTTAATTTTCGACTANCCTGACACGACACTACGGTGGCTGAGAGGCACTACCGTTAAAAGCGAATTGACGACACTACACGACAGGAGGAGAGGTTTTGGGGTTTAGGTTTGGGAGGGAGGAAGGAAGATTAGGATTAGGTAAAAACGTAGGGAGTGGTTAGGGTTAGGATGGGGGGAAGGGAAGAGTTAGATTGAAGGGAGGGAAGAGAACTGCTACCCGGGAAACAGGATGCAACGCGTCATCTGTGAAGCTCCGCCCACGTTGAGCTCCCGCCCACATCGAGCTCATTGAGGCACTGCGCACTGAGGGGCTTCTCGTCCGCGGCCGCAGCTAAACCCTTCTCAGCCACCGTAGTGTCGTGTCAGGTGGGCGTGTCGTGTAGTGTCGTGTAGTGTACTGTACTGTCCGCGGCTGCAGCTAGACCCTTCTCGCTGTTCCTGTTAGTGTTTACTTCCTGTCCGTCTTCTTCTGTTGTTCCTGTTAGTGTTTACTTCCTGTCCGTCTTCTTCTGTTGTTCCTGTTAGTGTTTACTTCCTGTCTGTCTTCTTCTGTTGATTCCTCTGATGTATTTTAACCGCTTTCCTTCTCTTGTTTTACTTTTCTTTTCTTTACTGGGGACAGTTTAGCTATCATGAAACCACAGTTTGGTGCAGTCCACAAATAGAAAAAGTGTTTTCTTACAGAGAAAACCAGTGTGTGTTGTCCACAGCTGACGTTAAATCAACTGGACTTCTTTCTGCGTATTGATATGCCTCTACATACTGTACTCCTAAAAAAAAAGAAACAGAACACCTCTTTAGTGGTTATTCTGTTCCGAGAATAACCACTAAACATGGAAAAGCAGCTTTTAGTTATTATGCCACAACAATTTGGAGCAAACTGCCTAAATCGTGCACGTCCGCCGAAACACTTCCTATTTTTAAATCCAGATTAAAAACGCACCTATTTGCCGCTGCTTTTAATCGAGCTGCCCACACTCACACTACAGTAGGCCTTTTTAGTCATGTATTCTGTACCTGCTGTGTTTATTTATTTATTTTATTCCATTACCTTTGCTTATTATGCCTGTTTTTAAATGCCTTTTATAATAATGTATTCACGCTGTATTTGTTCTTAAATGTCTTTTGCTTTTAATCTGTAAAGCACTTTGAATCGCCACGTGCTGAAAAGTGCTATATAAATAAAATTGCCTTGCCTTGGGCCGGATTTGGCCCCCAGGCTTTGAGTTTGACACATGTGTACTAACTGGTTTAGTGACAAATGCACACATGGCAGGCGCTGCTAACCTGACAGCTGCTAACAAAGCCATACTGTTGTGATAGTTCATACTGATCATTTTAGGGGAGTGGCTTTGGAGGGAGGATTGGAGAGGAGCTGAGCTGTCAGAGCTTCTCGTTGGTTTCATTGGGAAACAATGGGCTGGGATTTTCCGTTCGTTTGATGTAGTTTACCCCGAACACTTGTTCTATGTTGCCTACCAAAGCTTTTCCACTTAAACCTCCAATCACGGTTTGCTTCAAACAACTCCCAAGGTGATTTGATCTCTTAAATGTTCTTCTTTAATTTGATTGGCCAAGTTGAGACCGCAGTTTTACATTCTTTCATAAATGCAACATTTAACAAATGAGACAAAGCTGGAATCTGGTTGGCAAGACTGCTCTTTTAAATTAAGTAAACATTCCTGTTCAGACTTTACGTTAACAATGCTGGTGTTATGTAGCGGAAAGGATTTTAGGTGTCACACTTTGTCTATGCTCCTTTTGTCAACAAATATACCCTGCTGTCAAGAGTCTTTCTCCATCCTTTCCAAGAAACCACAAGTCAAACTAAAGTGTGTGTGTCTGCAGGTATCTGCTGACTGAGCAGTCTCGCCCGCGCAGCGTCAATGACATAATGCCAATGATTGGAGCTCGGTTCTACACACAACTGGATGCGTCGCAGATGAGGAATGATGTCATTGAGGAGGATCTGGCTAAGGTATGTGAAGGTGCATTTCTTCAGTCTGTGTCACAAGGCACAGAGCAGACAGAGAGCGCATGTTAGGACTGCTCAATTCATCGTATTTGAATCGCAATTACGATTTTGGCTTGCAACGATTACGAAAACATCCTCGAAATAAAACAATTTTATTTTTTATTTAAAAAAAGAAAATGTTTAATTGTTTTCTCAGTTGAATTATACTTAAAGTTCAGGGTAATCAACTGTTAATGTAAAAAAACTGTAAATGGATAATCGTTTTTAATGGTGATATTAATTATTGACCCAAATAATCGAGATTATGATATTTGCCATAATCGAGCAGCACGTTGCAGTGCTGTTGTTGTCAGGCTGATATTCTGGGTAATGGTCGGAAGTAGGCCATGCGTTCAGTGCGCTAAGAGGGAAGTTGTGTGCACACAGGATGTTGTATGGTATATAGTTGGCCTTGCAGTCTCTTCTTGAGTTTAGGGAGGGAATGTGTGAAACAGCCGCCCTTCACCTCATCTCTCTTCTTGTTTATCAACTTCTCCTTAACTCTGTGGCACTTAATACATCCATCAGACTAAGTAGTTAGTGCTAGTGTTTCTACCTGCTAACTGGTTCATATAGCAACTGGAGAGTAGAACATGGAAACACACTACTTTCTGTCGTAATACAACTGGGCTAGAAAAGTAGGTTTGTTGTTGTGGCCCAGCCTGTGATCGGCTGATAACGGCTGTCAGTGTAACCGTTTCTAGTTTACCATGGAATCTTTGCATAGTGCCTCAGCTGAATGTGTATCTGCATACAGGGAATAGAAGCAGTGGGGTTTATGTTCCTCGTAAGCAGAGTTGGGTGTTGGTGGTAATAATATTACTTTTGTCGGTAACGGAGTAGTGTAACGCGTTACTTTTATAATTCAGTAATCACACTACAGTTCATTTCATTTCAAACCTTTATTTAGACAGATTGGTCCCTTGAGATCATCGATCTCATTTACAAGGGAGGCCTGCATCATTTAGTTCCACATGAAACATAAAAACAACATACAAACAAACAACAGAGGATATCATATTTACATATTCAACATTTACAAATACCCAGAGTGTCAGAAAGCATTTCATTTAGACGTGCCTTAAATACATTCAGAGAAATAAAAATGCTCAATTTCAATTTTGCCTGAAGACTGTTCCAAGCAAGTGGAGCTGCGCACATAGAAGCTGTCTTACCTCAGACAGTCCTTACTCTTGGCACATCTAACAAGACTACATCCTGCGATCGCAGACAATAGCTGCTTGCAACTTTCTGCTTCATCAATGAACAGATATAATACGGGAGTTTGCCCAACATAGCTTTATAGATAAAAGTACTAACAGTGACTGAGCCTCCGTACAGTGAGTGATGGTAAACCTGCCTTGGTATACAGGGTACAGTGATGAGTAAGTGCTTTACAATTTGTGACAAATCTCAGAGCACTATGATACGCAGCATCTAGTTTGCTCATGTAGTTGGCAGGTGCATTCATATACATCAGATCACCATAGTCCAGCACAGGTAAAAAGGTCACAGTGACTAGCCTTTTNACAGCTCATTATAATGTATAATACATGAACAATAACATTTGTTACACTTTGTCCCCATCAATTTACATGTGTGTGTCTAATCTTGTCTAATCTATATATAGACGACCTCCTCCATCACTATGAGGCATCCAGGAGTCTCAGGTCTTCTGGGTCGGGTCTGCTCTCTGTTCCGAGAATAACCACTAAACATGGAAAAGCAGCTTTTAGCTATTATGCACCAACAATTTGGAACAAACTGCCCAAATCGTGCACGTCCGCCGAAACACTTCCTATTTTTAAATCCAGATTAAAAACTCACCAATTTGCCGCTGCTTTTAATTGAGCTGCCCATACTCACACTACAGTATATCCCTTTTTAGTCATGTATTCTGTACCTGCTGTGTTTATTTATTTTATTTATTTCATTACCTTTGCTTATTATGCCTGTTTTTAAATGCCTTTTTAATAATGTATTTATGCTGTATTTGTTCTTAAATTTATTTTGCTTTTAACCTTTAAAGCACTTTGAATCGCCACGTGCTGAAAAGTGCTGTATAAATAAAATTGCCTTGCCTTGCCTAGAATGTCCAAATTGACCAATCAGCATCAAGCACTGAATTAAGCCGTATAATAAGCAATAGACCCAAAATAAAATGTGCACCTGTTTTTCTGGGATGACCAAAATCTAACCCAAATAATCTCTTTCTCATCATATTGGGGATCAAAGATGCAGCCCTGCTTACACTGTGTTCAATAATAAATAAATAAAAGATTGAGATAAGATGAAGATAACGGGGAGGACTGGAAAAAGCAGACGGTCCGAGGGGTTTAATTTGATCTGAACTGTTTTGAATGCATCCTACACAACAGCTGATTTACGCTGCAGTAGAAACTCTACACTAATGAATTATAAGGACCTGTTTAATGTGCTCATAATCACCGCAGGTTATTTTGCAGCC